CTGACCTGCTGCCAGAAAAAATAACAAACCTTCTAAAGATAGCAACCTTAATAGCATGTCGAATGACGAGCAACTCAATACAAGTTGAGGAAAGTTCCTCCGCCACTTTGACTCGATGTACTGTTTTAGATAGATGTTTCACGACCGAGAAGCCAGATACATTATGTCCGACAGAATCGTCGGTGGCATATATATCGTAGCCGTTGTTGTAATAAAAAAGGATCTTTTCTTGGCATAACATCCTCATACAAGAGAAGTTGAAATTTTGTTTTGAGGTAGAGATCGATTCGAGAATGTTCATGAAGACTCTGCATTTGCTGGTAATGAAATTCAAGGGGGGAATTGAATCTAATTTATCAAAAATATGACGAAGTTTTTGATAGCAAATAGTATAGCTGCAAGTGACAGTGTCACTGAGAGATGTAATTTCCTGAAAAAAGGAAGGATTTATGATCTTGACTTTAATTAACTCCTTGGCAGTGCAAAAAAGGGCTCTTTTGGAAACGGGCCACTCACCAGATATGACATTGAGAATGTGTTGAAGAGTTGAGGGGGTCAGTCCAGTACAACGCTCCAACATTCGGTTTTCAAATGCTTGTATACGTTTCTCAATATATTTTGGGAAATTGAAACATGTGGAATGTCCAAATTCAATTTTGGACCTGACTAAAGATTTGTAAACGGTCAAAGCATTTTTGGGAGGCAAGCCTGCCTGATTGTTTGTCATGAGTTTGATGACGTTGCATCCAGACTGACAACCTTTGAACGCCTTTTCATAATGCCCACGAAGGGATAAGCTGTCATTTAAAATTCTCCCAAGAAATCGAAGAGATTTTACCTGATTATCTTGGGTACCTTTGATAAGAAGTCTGATTTCACGTTTAGAACCTTTCGCAAAATAGATAGTGTTTGTCTTGCTGGGGTTAAAATAGAAATTAAAATCAGCGCATGCATCGAAAAACAAGTTCGCTTTCATCGAGAGGTTATTGACAGCTGCTGGAAAAGATGAGTCCGCAGATACGATTGGAAAATCGTCTGTATATTGAAAAATGTGAGTTTTGTCATCTTGAAGATCATGCAAAGAAGCTGCGTATAAATTGAAGAGTATGGGGCTTAAACAACTGCCTTGTGGGATACCACCGCATATTTCAACTTTTTCGGTAACCATCACCAACACACGCTTGGATAAAAAATTAAGTATCCACAGCCGCATTTGAAGAGGAATCGAAAAGATTAGGAGAATTCTACCGAGCTTAATCAAGTTGACACAGTCATAGGCTTTGCTGATGTCCAGGGAGAGCATAACAACCATTTTCCCTGCTTTTTTTAAGCTGGCTTTGAGAAAACACAGTTCATTAACGCACATTTTCGTAGATTTGCGTTTTTGACAGGCGTAAGAACGAGCTGGAATAATGTTCTCAGTTTTCAGGAAACCAGTTAGTCTCTCCTTAACCATGAGGTTGACAGTCTTTATGAATGCAGATATCAGTGAAATTGGTCTGAAGCTACTTAAATCATTTAAGTTTTTACCTGCCTTAGGAATGGGAACTATTTTGATGCATCGCAAATCTGAGGGTATAAAGTTGATGGACCATCAGTTGTGAATTGCATGCAAGAGAATGCTAAAGCTTCCTCCAGTCAGTGCTCTGAGCATGTCATACTTGACTCCATCACAACCTGCAGCAGTAGCTCTCTTTCTGGAAAGTCAAACATAGATTAGCTCATGCAATGAAAAGGGTGTGTTGCGGAGACTACTAAAAGGAATTGAAGGTATTGTAATCGGATCTACACTTATAATGTAGATCTTAAGCATATCCAAGTATTTTTTATTATCATGGTCATTCAATACAGCACAAACGCTTAATTTTCGACTAGAATGTCGATGACCATTGATATAATTCCAGAAAGAGCGTGGGTTGCCGTTACCACATAAATCTTTAATCGCGATAGCTATATGTGCCCTTTTCGTCTTTCTAACGGCAGACCTTCATTCTCTCAGTGTTTTCATGTATTCAATGTAGTTGACTGGATTTGCATATTTACTCATTTTTTTCCTTGCAGGTTGGTATTTGCGAACAAGTGTTGACAGGGAAGAGTTCCACCAAAGTTTTGGTGAGAAGGACTGAATGTCAGGAAAGTTGGTTCTAGCAGACCTGATCACAGACTGAAAGGCACTTTCAATTGATGGTAAATCTGAAGGAAGCTCAACTTTACAGAGACGGTCCATAAGGAAGTTGCGTGAAATGAAATTTTCTATTTTCTTGACGGAATTGTTACAACTGTGGAATAAAATGGGAGAGTGCTGACTTTTGCCAATGGAAACGTTGAACATGTTCCAGTTGAAAGATAAAATAGTTGAATTCGAGAAAGTCAGATCTAAGACACTGCTCGCCGTGCGATCACTCCGGTTACAGTGAAAGGTAGTATTGCCATTATTTAAGGGACTGCAACTCCTGGAATTGATGGCATTTACAAGGATCTTGCCTTTGTTGGTAGAGACTTGATCGCCATACAGGCGGTGTCTTGCATTGAAATCTCCAGCTAGAATCACATTTTGTTCACCGTCAAGAAAGTCGCATAATCTCTGAATCTCATCACGAAAGGTTTGCACATCGAGACTGGGTGGAAAGTAGCATGATGCTATGAAAAGATTCGGTTTCAGGCTCATGGTTTTGATGATGATAATGTCAAAAGCAGAGTTATAGGGAATACTTCTGAAATTGACACCTTTCTTAACTAATATACTAACACCGCCATAGCCATCATTTCGGCATTTGGTGGTTGAGCCATAATTCGAATCTTTAACGTCAAAACAATTTTCATCTTTCAGAAAAACTTCACTTAAGAGTTTAAGTAAAAATCCAAAAACGATAGGTTACCTCGGACACTTTGAATGTTATATCGTAAAAAGGATATCATGTTGAAACTTGAGAAAGAACCCCAACGGATTTCCTCATAGTACTGGGTGCTTGAACGGGGCAAGAAATGGCACAGACAGACATTTTTTCTTCAAATTCTTTAATAAGATTATGAGGGATCATCGGACGGATACTTTCTTGAATCGCGAGAATTAATCTTTGAAGTTCTGAGGACCGCAAATAGTTGTTTGCAATTATCGGACGCCAAAGACTTTTTCCAGATGGCTTGGAGGGTGAATTGAGAGAAGGCTTGGTGGGTAAACTGAGAGGAGATTTGGAAGGAACCGATTTACTTTTGAGGACAGCATTATATTTATTTTTGGTTAAAATTTTGTTGGCGTTTTGTTTCAGTGGAGGAAAATTGTCGTCATAGGCGAGACATTCGAAATAATTTCCGGCAAAATTCTCTTTCACCTCTTTATACGAGAGATTTTTAATTGCCATGATCCTGTTGATATTTGATTCAAGTTCCCTGTTAGGGCAACACTTATTGAGAGCGTTGTGCTCACCTGAACCACAGAACAATTCATCGTCTCACAGTTCACACACTTCAGAGACTTCCCATAGTTAAGGCACCTGCTCTCTTTAGCTTTGCAGAATTTTGACACGTGACCGCATCTATCGCACTTAAAGCACTGCTTTAAAATGGGTACAAAGTACTCAACCGGCAATACAATAACAATAATTAAATTTTATTGACTTAGGGAGGGCTCTCCCTTTGAAGCCAATTTTGATGCTGTTTGTGGGAATCCAGTCATCTTTGTTCTAGGGGTTTTTTCTTTGAAAACGGCACGCGGACTTAATCAATTAATAATTATTTATATCATCGACATTGTTTGTGCATGGGATGTTTCGAATGACTCCAAATCTCTCAGTGAAAGACCACGGTATGTACGCCTTTAAATTCTTTTTAGTAAATTTATTATTCGTAACAAAATTGTTGACATTGGAAGCAGAGCTGAAAAGCAGTTTGGCTCTGCTCCTGCTGACGACTTTTAATTCTTGTAAGCCGTACATGTTGAAATCCTTCAAATAATCGTAAAAATAGAGGTTGGAGTTAATATTGATGCGATTTACTTCTGCGTCTGCGCACGTTTCGACAAAAACGACGAAATTGCACTTCAAAAGACAATCGTACAAATTGATCTCGAGATTTGGGGCGGCTGTGGCACCCAAACCAGAGGGCTTCTCGATATCCTGTTTACTAGGCGCAATTAAAACGTTTGCGTTAGCTTCTCCGTTAGCAGATAAAAGAATATTATTCTCACCCATTCTCCATCTCTTGGTGTGCCCAGTGGCGTTCATGTAAAAATCTTCAAAACAGTCTCTATCAGTAGTTATAAGATCAGACCCAGTCTCCATAGGGAGACGGGAGATTCCTCTTCCTGCCCTCCTTTTCTCCCATTAAAATTGTTTTCTTTGGTTATTTTATTACTTTATTGAACCTCTTTTCCTTTTTTCAAATATTTAATTTCTTTTTTTTTTATTCACCAACACCGGTAAAACCCAAAAATTATCCAGCTGCCGTTTGCAGAGATGACGTGTTGTATCAACTGTGAATGAAATGCGAATGAATTATTAATTTCAAAGGTAACATATGCTTTACATTTAACTAGTCTGTGCATCAAGACGTTTGCTATTCGTAATGAAGATAATCTTTGGCGAAACAAACAGAATCATATTTCCTTCTAATTGCGGACTTCTTAGCATCTTTACAATAGAAACAAATAATTCAAACAATTCAGGAATTTCAGAAAACGTGATCACTTAATTGCAGGATGGCAATTTCTTCATTCGAATTGAGTTCGCTCTTGTCACTACCATTGTTTCGTATTTGATATGTCAATAGAAGAAGCCTATCTAATGTTTCCCTTTTATTTATATGGAAAAAGTAAGACTCTCCAATGTCATGGGTATTTGTGACGTGAAGAAGCGTGGAGAACAAACTTAGTTTGTAAGACTTCATTTCGATATTCCTCACCAGCACCTTGCCGCTTTGTTGATTTCAAAATACTAGGAGTTTCGAAAGATAATATTAACACAAACCGTTTTGCGAGCGTTTCTCTCATGGTATAAAGGTTATAGCGACTGTTGAATTCGTTACAAAAAAAAAATTCGATACAAAAAAATATTGTAAGTAAATTCTATACGCCAAAGACGGTACGAATAATTTTTGTACACTCGTTTCCTCACTTCCTTGTATGGAAAAATTCAGTGCCAAAGAATGGCAAAGAATGCACCATTCATTTATATAAGAGATGGGCATATGAAAGAAATCGCACAAATAAAGCTTTCACCTCGTGGCTTTTACAATGTAAGCACTCTTTCAAATATAATACGACATAATTCGAGGTCCTGTAATCTCTATTTACTTTACACAATCCTCGACAAAGATTAGCTAAACAATAAATTTGAATTTACAACATATTCTATGCGGCTCATCTAAAAGTATCCTGATTGAAATGCTCAATAGAGATGTTTTCCCGCTCAAGCTTCATGAATTTCAGTTTAAAAGCAGTAGTGATTTTTTAAATGTTAACTGTTCACAGAACAGTATGTGTACGTTATTGATCTCCGTTGTCTTCGAAAGCTGCCAAACGCTTCAAGTCCTTCAATTTTAATTGTAAATCGCTTATCGCATTTCTCAGTTTTGTAATTTTATCATCTCTTTGCTGTACGACGGCCTGATATTTTTCTTGCAATTGTTGTAATGCATTTTTTAGCTTATTATTTTCCACTTTCGTCTTCAAGAACAAATGTTTATACATTTGATCGCCACTTTTATTTTCAGTTTCACTTTTCTTTGTAGCTATCGGTCTTGTCTCAATATCGTTTTCATCCACCTTCAGCATGCAGGAACTTCTTGTGCATTCATTAGTCTTTTTATTTGTATTGACTGCTTCGGGTTCTTCAATTATATATTCTACGTACGATTCAAATGAGTCCCGGCTGCTTAGATCAAGTTCTTCTACCTCAATAGGTTCAGATACAGACAAACTATCACTTAACTCAGTTTCACTTAACATTTCTTCAAACATTTCAATAGCTTCGTCTTTAGAAGGTAAATCTAAATGCAATGTTGGTATTGAATTTGCAGTTAATCGGCAAAATCTCACTAATTTTGGATCAAAATGTTTTTCACACACAAATCTATGTTTAATTTTATTTTCATCGTTTATTTGACAAGCAATATTCCATTTCTGCCTTAAGATGAGATCCGTTGGGAAAGAGAAAAATGATGTATCTGGAAAAGGTATGCAATTTTTTATGCAACATTTTTTCCAATTTCTGCTTTTGTGAAAGTCATGTGGCGGACGTTCTTCATAGCCTAAAATATTTCACAAGAAATTTGATAAATGATATTATTTTTTCCTATGTTTGCCTTACCTAAAACTAATGTGGGCACCGCATATAATTTTAGTCGACGCTCGCCAATGAATTCTTTTTTAAAGTGTCTGATGCAAACCCGAGAACTTGTATTTACATGGAATACGCTGATTCTAAGATTTTCTATCCATTTTTTAAACGTTTGCTCATCTCTTGGAAATCTGTACATACGAATTCTACCACTATCATTCCCTGGACAGCCTTTTGCAAGACATTTTTTATGAGATGTCATAACTATATTGTTAGGCTCTTAAAGATAAAAAAATGAAAATAAAGCGCTCATTATACGAACTTAACACAACTTATAGCTTAATTAGCACGCGTACCGTATTGTTCAGTTTATGCTTTGTAGCATAGAGTTTATTCTCAGATTTCGATTATTTGCGCGACACGATACGTTTTTAACTAAACGAAGATTATTGTAGAAATCCGCCATTTATAAAAAATTCAGCGAAATATAACGTGAACAAGAATAAGATATTTTGTAAGATGTATTGCTAAACTTTTAAATCCACTTACAACCTTCAGTTGCGGGGCTTGATTAAATGCTTTGATAGAGTTTAGATCAAAAACGAGCTTAAATACTTTTTCCAGCTCTCATTAAGGTAATAGTATGGAATTTTTCCCTACATATGCTTATTAAAACTGCGCGTTAAATTTATATAGGGCTGCAAAAATTATCATTAATACATGCGAAAATCTAAGCGAATGTTCACGGTAACTCATGTTATGTCCAAGTTATGTTCGTTCAGAATTTGTTTTTTCCATGAAAATTTACTCGATTCCTCTTTTTTTTTCCACTATTATTTGGAATTTTTTGGCTTAGTAATAGAAAAGAAAAACTTTTTTTTTTTTGGATCGAAAAAAAGGCTTTAAATATTCTTCCCAAATTGCTTAGCCTTCGTCTTTCAAGTTGCGCACAATACAAGAATTTTAAGTTTAAGAGCAAGGGTTAGTTTTCCATAATTTAGTAATCAAATAAGCTAATAAGGAGGTATAATCTCAACTCGGTTCTTTCTTAGTCAACTGTCGCATATATACCGAACTTTTGTGTTATTAACGTCTTGTGTGCGCCTTTTTATAGATCTTGACTGCGGATTATGGAACTAATAAGCAATTCTGGAGGCCAGAGATATAATAGATTTATTATTGTGAACGTGTAGATAATGCTGAACACGACTTTTTAAATCGATTTAACCGATTCGGCCGTTTCCGCAAGTTTGAGAAAGTATAAAAGAATAAGGATTAACAAAAACAACATCATTTGCATATCAACTGGCAGTTTGAAAAATTGTTTCTTAATTATAAGCTTCTTCAGAACAAGCCGAAAGCAACGCCTCAAGTGCTTACTTGAAGGTGGGCGGAACCAAAGCCTAATGGCACGACAGCTAAATTTAAGCCGATGTGCTGTCGGCATGTATATCAGCGATATCAAAAGACCGACAGTTATACTCAGCGACGAGAAAGTGGCCGAAAAGATGTTACAACACAGCGTAACGGTGGCTCATTTGCACCAATATCAATGCGAAATCGCTGATTGAACCCGGCAGCAGCTCCAGGAAGGTAGAGGAATAGCAGTCAGTCGGTGCACGATTAGAAGAAAACTAGCCGAAGGAGGCCTGACAGCACACAAAAAATCTTATTCTATGAAAAATCGAATTGAAGCTATTATTCAGGATACGAGAGTTGGTACCTCGTATTGAATATTTACAAAAATTTTAATCAGCGACTTCTACAGGCAAAAAGCCCACCGAACACATTCAAACTGTATGTCTTTTTTAAAACCTAATGGTGTGCACTTTAGTTTATGCTTGCAACCTAAATTTAATTTCACAAATATTTAGATGCGCGATTTATTTGCTCTCGAGTGTACATATATTAATGATAACCGCAAATCAGTGGGAGGATCATGTAGGTACATTAAATACATCTGAACTTACAGTGTAAAATTGGCTCATATTCCGGTATACAACGTAAAAATCTGTGTTGAATACCTTCTTTTAAAACAATATTAAAAAGTTATGTTAGGGTAAATATAATTTTTTTGCTATTAACTTTTGTAAAATTTATTTTCTTATCGACTATTGCGCCAGAGTTTAAATTATTTAAAAAAGTGTACTTAAGAGTAAATTTTACTTATTATCTAAACCTTTATTTATTGTTTTAACTTTTATATTTAAGTGTCTTAACGTGTACTTAAATTTTAGAATTTGTTTATCCTTCTTATTATTGCTCTCTTTTAGTTGAAAGAGCCGATCTATTAATTTTTTATTCTCATCTTCCAATTGTTTATTACACTTCTTCAGTAGTGTTAATAAGTTGTTGAGTTGTAAATTGCTTTCTTTTAACTTCATCATTTCATCCTCCTGTTGCGTTAAAGTATGTTCTTTCGATCTAAACATCATTGTGTTCAGTTTTTTTGTAGTTTTCGTGCTAACCATTGAAGTAGATTTATTCCTGCCTCTTTTTTTTATTGGAGTTGACGTCGGTATCCCCTCTAATGTCAATTCTTCATTGAAATTTAATACATCTTCATTTGTCTTTGCCATATGCTTTTCCGAGTTTGTGTAAATTTGCCCTTCAGCTGAAGATTCAACCCCATTGTTTGATAACTCAATATCATCTTTAAGATTTAAGTTACGCGTAGGAACCGCAAAACGTTTTAATTTTTTAGCGCATAACAATTCAGGTTCAAAATGTTGACTGCAAATCCTAATTTTCTTCTGAAGTTTTCTGCCAGTGTTAGAAGCAGAAACCCACATCTGTTTCAAGACCTCGTCTTTTGGAAAATAGTGATACGTGTCAGAAGGATTCGACTGGCAATTTTTTATGCAGCATATTTTCCATTTACATTTTCTCTCGGGAGTGAAGTCTCTTATGTGTTTCGGTTGCCCATTGTAACCTAAAATAATAATGTACATATAGTGAGTTATTTCGTGTCAAATTTATATAATTTTTGGTTAAAAAAATAGAAAATGTATTATTATTATTATTATAATTTTAGACTAATGAAATAAGCCCTTAGACTAAAAAAAAGACATTGAGCACCAGCAACGCAGGCTATCGGCTCAAATTTATAAAAGTACATTAGATATTGAGCCTAGTAGTTTTAATAAAGTAATATATTTTATTGATATTCTGTTCTATAGCTAATTGTAGAGTATCCGTAGGGCTAATCGTTCCAAATGCAATACTTCTAGTCAAGGTAAAGTTAAGGCAGTCACGGAGAATGTGCTTTTTAGTGAAAATGTGTCCACAATTGCAGATTGGGGAGGAAGTTTTCTTCAAGATCCATTGGTGAATTGCAATCGTATGACCAAGGCGAATTCTCGAAAATGTTTGGACCTTGATTTTTTTGAGGGCTTGGTGATAGACCGGTTTGAGGATGTTGATATTAGATTTGCAGCTATTGCCATAAATTATCAAAGCATACTCAATCTTGCTTAAAACAAGCATTTTGGTAAGATAAGCAATAGTTTTAATGTGTGCATGAGTTTTCCAGGCAACGTACTATATGAAATTCACCCTTGTTAACATAGAATTTTTTAACCGAAAACAGTGTGTTTTCCAACGATTTATGTTGGAAAACGTGAGCCCGAGAGCGTCTGCACCTTTAATACTGGTAAGTCATTAATATGCATCAGTGGATTTCCTGCATCGCATATCCGCTTTTGACAAATGCGCATTTTTTTGATTTTTGTATAGAAATTTTAGCCCCTGATGAATTTGCCCATGTGGAGATCTCTTGTTCAATAGATTCGAGGATGTTGATTGCTATCGTGCTATCTTTTTCTTTTGTAAAAATGCATACATCGTCCGGGTGGGTACAACGTTCGAATTATTTTACGAATGTGTGTTCAAATGTATTTTACGGAAAATGTATTTCACGTTTAGTATATAGAAAATAAAAGGAAATAACTACGTTGATATTTGAATATTTGGAAACCGCAGCATAAGAGCTGGAAAGTCTGAACTACGTTTTTAAGTCAGCGAAATATGCTTGTTTTTAAATGCCTTTTATACATAGATATATCTTAAGTGCATGCGTCTAGACTACCTCTATACCCACCTAGTACCAATGTTGGAAAAGCATTGGGAAATAATTTTCTCCGATGTTCTCCGATAAACTCTGGTTCGAAATGCCGACTGCATACTCTTGTACGAGTGTTTATACTGTCAATACCTATTCTTAAATTCTCACACCATTTCAATCGAAGCGGTATGTTAGCCGGAAAACTATGCAATACAATATTTGGGCAACCTTCCCGTCTACGACAGTTCCGTACGATGCACGTCCTAATGAAACGACTATTACCCATTTTGTATTCTGTTTTTGGATACAAAAAGCATTAAAATTATACACCAATTTTCACAAAAAGCGTAAGAATTATTGTAATAATTTTTTAATAGAAACCTTTTTTAATAATTTAAACCTTTTATTAACAGTAATATATGATGGTTAGTTTTTAAAACAAATCATTTTTATGGATTTAATAGGATTTTCCAAGTTCTTTTTGCAAGTATTGCACAAAAAAAGTAAGAAAATCTTACAGATGCAATTGGAATAAATGGAATAGAACATTTGAAAATATCCACGTTGTGAGAGCTCATAAAGATGGCTACAGAGAAATTTAATGATTTTTTCCGTTTCGAGTGAGCAATTTCTGGTGAGCATATGAAACCAGAGAGAACTCAATATCTAGAGACACCATCAGAACCTATCAAGTAAATTCTAGTGAAATCCCAGGAACTTTTGTTATTTTTGTGGTCAATAAGTGTAATAGCGTTTTTAATTAACAAAGACATGATTGTATATAATTTGCATATGTTTGTACAATTTCTACTGAACTGTTAAACTATACCAAACGTTTACAAAGCAAAAGTATATAGTTTTTAAATTTTTAAGTGAATATGCGCTACAATATGTGTGGAAGTGTATATATGTGTAGAAAAAACCACGTTATATAACTTGCTTTCACATAATAGAGCCGATAGCCTGTGTTGCTAGTGCTCAATGTATTTTTTTAGTCTAAGAACTTATTTCATGAGTCTAAATTTAAAATAATAATAATAATTTCACATCATCATTTATTTCACATTGAAGAGTTGTAAATGTTATGTTCGCCAAATTATTTAATAAATTTCAAAGCAAAGGTGCTCTGAAGAAATATGAAGGTATTTTTTATAATTAAAGATTTATATTGTAGGAATAATTTATCTTTATTTAATATGTAG